CCCCAAGATAATAATATGGCTTTACACAGCGGTGGTAAGACCCATACTCACATACGGAGCACTAGTATGGTGGCCAGCATTAACCAGGGCATACAACGTCCAGAAACTAACAAGGATACAGAGATCGGCATGCGCAGGAGCCACGAGAGCACCGAGATCATGCCCCGCAGCGGCGCTGAACGCCATCCTGAACATAATACCGATAGAGCATTTCATCAGGAACACTGCGGTACGACTTAAGGCTAGTCAAAGCTGGAAAGACTACCATCCCTCGGACAAGCACGGATGACTTCAAAACTAGTGGCCAAATGTAAAGGGGCACTAAACAGACTAGCAGAGGACAACAGGGTAAAAAATAGCCTGGGTACCCGGACACAATGACATATACGGAAACGAGAAAGCAGACGAGCTGGCCAGAAAAGGGTCAGAAGAACACTCAGCAGACATACAGATCTCAGACATACAGATCTCCCTGAACTCAGTCCAGACGGAAATACATGACTATTTCAAAAAACTAGCCAGCAAGGAATGGTCGACGAAGGCAGAGCACAGAAGATCGAAACTATGCTGGCCAGAATTCAATAGGAAGAGAACCGCAGAACTGATCTCCAAGAGCAAAAACGGACATCTGGAGGATAGCGGCAACCATCACTGGCCACTGGCCTATAGGCACGCAAGCCTGTAAGATGGGTCTACCCTACAACCCACAATGCAGAAGCTGCAAGGAACCAAGCGAGCAGGAGACACCAGAGCACCTGTTGTGCCACTGCCCGGCACTCAACAAACAAAGAGCCCGACACCGGACCACACCATCTCGAGTCACTAGTGGAATTTGGAAGCTGCCACCCTAGCTTACCTGAATGACACGGCCTGGTACTAAGGAGGGAGCAGACAACAGCAAATCGAGGGCGTGGACCAAAACGGAGCCCAGCTCTAATTGGAGGGGGCCAGGGTGGCCTCACCAGTTTTACCTACCTACAAGGACAGCTCTTGCCAGACACACCTGCAAACGGATCTTAATAACTTTCAAGCATGGTGTCTTGCTATTTTATTACATCTCAATAGCTCCAAATGCTGATGACAATTTTACGTGGCACTCCCCAGTTTGCCACTTATACGCTTAATGATTGCGCTCTGGAAAGAATAACTTGTTGACGATTTGAGTGTTCCCTTAGACCCTAAACTTTCGATCTCTGAACATATTTCGTGCATGGTTAATAAAGCCAGAGGCATGCTCGGTTTTATTAAGAGGTGGTTGAAGGAAGCCGATTCCCCTTATATAACGAAGACCCTTTTTACTTCGTTAGTACGCCCAATATTGGAGTATGGTTCATGCGTCTGAATTCCTTAATTCGGAGTCCATATTAACGTTATTGAATCTGTACAAAATAACTTTTCACTTTTCGACCTCCGTGGCCTATCCTGGGATGCTTATGAGAGACTACCGTCCTATTCTAGTAGATTTCTATTAATTAATGTACACTCCCTAGCTAACCGGAGAACGATGCATGGTGTCGTATTTCTTAAAAATGTAATAAACGGTGATGTTAAGAGCCCCTATCTTTTAGGGCAGCTCAATTTCCACGTTCCTCGACTAACATCTAGAACCCATGTAAGTTTAAAATAAACACAAACACTACTGCCGATTTCAAAAATTCTTTCACCAATGGATAACTACATTCCCTCTGAGTAACGTAGGTTAAATTTTAGCGCTAGAAAAGATTAGAAAGCCAGTAAAATTTAACTAACGTAATCCAAGGCACCTTAAGTAGTTATCAAAAAATCTAAAAGAACTAAAACGTAATTAAAGTATGCCTCAATGCATTTTCTTCAAAGCAATCAATTTAAAATATTCATTTTCGCACAAATATATGAGCACACCTGAGTTATCTATCCCGACATCGAAAAGCTTACTGAAACAAATATAGTTTGGCTGTACAAGGGAGATGTTCCTCCGAAAAACGACTTAGTGAGAATAATAAAATTATTATTAGGTAATTTTAAATGTAACAGATCTGTCAACAGTGTTCAATATCTTAGATATACTGCACTACCCACAAGCTTTTTAAATTCTCTCAATCCTGCCGGGCTACCAGCCTACTAACTGAAATTAAGATGACAGTATTTTCATTATGCTATTGAAAAATGACTAGACTATATAGCAACGATAATCACTGGGGCCGTGGCGGACGCTTCTTTCACATTCCGTGAGTTCTAACGATTCCAACATGTTTGCCTATATCCTTTAAAAGGTAACAATTTCCTGTGAAGATTTAATTTCCCCTTCGATAAATAAATCAAAGGAACAAACAACACTGCCTAAAAACAGCTGACTAGCACACGCAATTTAAGGGGTTACATACAGTTGTACCGATCAAAAAAAAATCAATTTTGTCGATTTTTGACATCATAAAAAATATTTATTAAAAATGTTTTGCCGACGTTGTTTAGTACATGTTTCTGGGTACTTTATAAAATTTGTTCATAAAAAAATATTATATATTAAAAAAGATATGGTTGAATTCCAAGATCGTCTTTTTTTCGATGGTGACTTGCGGTGGACATCATATCCCGAAAACGGTTCATCCGAAATCAAAAATTACAAAAAATTTCGTTAGTATATTGTATTGCCTAGTCCTCTAGACCATGGATTTGTAAAAATTTTGATTTAAAAAAAAATGGCGACGGTTTTAACAAAAAATTTACTTTTTCAAGGTATAAGATTTTCGATTTTTATGCTCTAAAAAAAAAAAGTTTTCAAATAAAATTAAAAATTCTTCGTTAGAGGACTAGCTATTGTTATAATAAATAAGTGGTCAAAATTTGGTGTTGATCGGATTAATAGTTTTTTAGTAATCGTGTCCACCGCAAAGGTAACTTCGAAAAAAAACGATTCTGAGATAATCGCGTTTAAAGTTTCAAGTTTGTTCCGGCCGACGTGCAGGTCGTGCGCTATAAATAGCTACAACTTCGGTTCTAAAGCTCCGATCGTTATGAATTTTTGTGAGAGTATTCTCAACAGTATATACTTGAAGAATATGCATCACAACTGTATATAACCCCTTAAATTTCCACCATGCATGCTTGGGATGAAATGCCTTTATTTTGGCCAAAACCTAAAAAATTCGTGTTAATATATCAATATTGTTATAATTATTTTAAGCTAAGAAATGTCCCCAGACATCAAAAATATTTAATTGGTATTTTATTGTGCAGCCCTTGTCTTCCACCAGTCCTTGAAAGTCAACTGTTCTTGCCACGTAGTACGTGCAAGCTTGCTGATTAGACAAGTTTCTTAACTTTGACGTTCTCGTATTTTTAAACAGTTTGACCAATTAAAATACCTTAAAATGGAAAATGTTTCACATGGTATGTAGAAAATATCTGTATAAGAGTTTAATTATATGTGCTTTTGTTTTGTCATGTTTTTAATGAAATACATAAACACTAGTTTGGTTGATTCTAACCTTAAAATATTTGTGTTTCGTGGAGCATATCTAGCAAGATACAACAGGATTCAAATAACAACTTATGTGGTAGTATGTGTTATTATGTGTATATTCAGATAGCATTTAAATAATTTGCGGGAATTTGCGGGGTGGTTAGATATTTCAACAGATTCGAGCAAGGTTGCAATTCGTCGAGGTGACTTACTGGAAGTTTGGCTGGATAATATTAGCAATGTCATCGCTACTTTTGACTGTGTTTGCGTCGAAGTAATTCCAAATGATTTTCCGGAAAACGATTTGGAGATGATTAAAAACAAAATAAAAACTTTATGGTTCAAATAAAAAGACTGCTGAACAAAGCACACAGAAATATTCGATGCTTAGAGGAAAACGCATCTGAGGCTCGCAAAAAATTTTACAAGCGCGATAGGATTTTGCATGCGAGGAAAAATAGCCGAGTGAACAATTTAACTGACGTATTTCACCGAGCTTTGGATTCTTCTGATCCTTACTTATCAAGCATCGCTCAAAAAAAGAGTTCAAAATCCCACTCATTGCCAAGTGAAGTTATTGTACTTTTAGCTTCTCCAAAACCAGAAGATGCAGCCCAAGTATATAGTGTTGAACACGACCTTGCAAGTATATATTTAGATTTATTTAGAAAAGAACGTTTATATTAATACAAGTTTATCTACTTATTTTTAAGTTTTCGTTTATTAAGGTATGTTATATGCAAAAATATTAAAATAAAAAAAAAATTTCTAACAATTGTGGATAAAAAAATGAAGAAAAAATAGAACAAAATTAATATGAATTTTATATGAATATACTGCAGTTCTATTATGTGGCAGTATAAAAAAAACCGAAATTCACAAATAATATAAGCAGCAAATTCTCTAAGTTTCAACTCTCTAGCTTTAAAATTACGGTTGTGGCCAAAATAAAGGCATTTCATCCCAATGTGCCATATAAGTAAAATAACGCTTATAAGTTTATTTAATTAAAAATTTCTATTAGGAGGCAGCATTAAAATCAAGAGCAGGATGAGATTTTCACCTTATTTATGGAAAAAATTATGATAAAGAGTGAAAGAGTGAATTGGCACGGGCAAAACATCCGCATGAGTTTTCCAATACTTCTTATCGAACATTTCCAGTACTGCGCCGAAAACATGATTGAAATTTCAATTAATTCAAATTAAGATCTACGGCCAAGAACACTTGTACCTTTAATTTTATGTAATGAACTAGTAGCCCATTAACGAATTTAGGTTGGACGCTAGAGCGGGCCAAAGTCTAATTAGCTCCCTATTAACAAAACACACATACAAAACAAACGCGTTTGTCTATGCCGGCCAGCTGATATTCCTTTGAAACAAAAGGGACCAAGGGGAAATTTAATATAAGTCCCTAAATCAACAAGGGAAATTCGCTTATGTTAAAGGGAAATCCGCAAATGTTATCAAATTCACTTCCGAGTGGAAACTAGAACAGGCCTGATAATTACTTTTTCGAAAGCTAGTAAACATTTATGTAAAGATAAAATGATTTACTAATCTTTAAATTTTATATTTACCATCATTATGATATTAAGCAATATGTAGCTATTTTTATATATTATTGAAGTTACATCAAAGACCATGTAAAAAAATTGTTCTAGCATTGATGGGACAGCGTCGGAATATATTTCCGCGTTTTTTCCATTTATATTTTGGGTATGCGTAGAAACATCATTGGAATGCGGTTCCAAATTCAATCGAATTGCATTTAATGTTAGCTCATACTGCGAACGCCCTAATAGGCTAAGCGTGGACACAAAATACGCCAGCATTAAAGCTATTGGGCTTAAATAAGAATCCAAATGCAATTTTACATTCAATGCAACAATTTTTCCATTCTTATTTTCATCATAAAGGCTAAGTAAAACTTCCATCCCCATAACTCTAATTAAATAATAAATTATTAATAATATTATTTCTAACAAGAATGCCTCTCACACACTTACCTTGTCCATATTGAGTTAATATGAATAGATTCTTGTAAAATGGGTAATTGATAGGCACATATAAATATTATATGAAAAAAGAGTGCCACAACCATAAAAATTAAAGGATAATACATCCCCCTAAGGAACAACAAATATAAAATAAAAATTTAAATTACTCTAACTTATGTGCATATATTACCGGTGGACTTGACGATAAAGTGCCCAATATGTACCAGCTATGATAAACATTAGAAAATATAAGCTTCCTGGTAGTGATGGTCTTAAAGTTGCAGCAAAGTAAAGTACAATAAGAGTAAAAATAGGAGCTGTTGGATATAAAAATTGACCTGAATTAGAAAGTTTGTGTTAAATTGTATTTAAAACCTTACATGTTCTTAGCACGGATCGAATATATACAATAATCAACATGCGGTTCATCTCAGTTACCTTTAAAGTACCAGTTTGTTCCTGACTTTCTTTTATGATGCCATTATCCCATACATTTTGCTTTTTCTGTTTTTTATTGAAAATTTTAAAAAAAATTAATGAGACAAGTGTTACTAGAAATACAATGATATCTGGAAGAATCCAGTGCGCAATTGAACCAAGGCTAAAAAAAATTAGTTAGTTTTAATTACATGCATACATTTACATTACCTTAGTCCTTTAAAGTATAGAAAACCAATTTGACGAAAAATAATATCAGTCGATGTTTTAGCGCTTGTCTCAAAAAAAAAAAAATTGGTCAAGTTAATTAAAACATGCCCAATAAGATTAGTTATACTTAAAATACAAAGAACTATAATAAATATATTTAAAAGAGCAAGCTGCTCATGACTCTGTTTTTTTAGAACCCAAGGTGAAATAAAAAACATTAAAAGGTATAAAAAAGATATTCCAACCGGTCGCACAAGTGACACTAAATAATGAAAATATTTGTTAAAAATTTTGGAAAAAGTAAGGAGCTTACCAATAATTAATGTCATTGGTACTATAAAACGTATTAATGTATATAGCACAGGTCTGGGCATTTTCAAAAAGAAAAATTTCACTTCTTGTTTTAAATTATCTTTGATATTATCTGTATGACATTTAACCAAAAAGTGACTAGACTGTGACACTGTTGTTAAGGCGAGTAATTTAAATTATTTTACTTTCCTATTGATTTTCCAATGAACAGTATTGCAGCTACTTATAAAATATGAAGATAAATTTAACAAGAAACGAAGCTGATTTCAGAACCGTGACAGGATGTTATCTTTTTTATTGAACACGTTGAACACCCGTTCAACGGCCGGGTGAATGTTCAGTCGCTGCAATATACATAATCATAACATTACATAATCTGTAATTTGTCAGTCGCAGCAATCTCATATGCAGCCAAAATAAAGTATAGATTCAAGTGCTGGGTGCGACACAAACAAGGCAATTAGTTTATGTGCTATTTTGCCAGGCATCGAAGCCTACTCACACTAACAAACACTCAAATAAACATTTTTGGCTATCATTAAGGCTCCACGGTACTTCATTACGTATCGAAGGTATTGGAGGCAATCCTAAGACTAGTCGAGCTAGAGTGAATGTGCAAATGAAATCAATGCATATCGAGTTTACTCAGCAAGTCGAGGCATTTGTGTTACCACACATTATAGCTAATCAACCGGCTCATCAGCTAGATCCAACAAATCTACTACTCCCTCAAAACATCGCTCTGGCAGATGCAAACTTCGATAAGCCAGGAAAGATTGACATGCTTATCGGAGCTGAGCACTACTATTCGTTACTACTGCCAAACCAGATGATGTTAAAACCAGGCGGCCCGGTCCTACAAAATACTAAACTTGGTTGGATTGTCGCCGGAAAAGTATCTGCAGAAAACAACCAAGCAGCAATTTTTCGCGCCTGCAACCACAGAGGACCAAATCGACACGCTTTTGAAACGTTTCTGGACTTTAGAAAACCTAGAAACGGAAGAGAAACCAAAATCACCGATAGAGGCTCATTGCGAAAGACACTTCCTAGGAAATCTCCAATTCGCAGCAGATGGAGGTTCATAGTAAAACTAAACAAAATACTGCTACCATCCGGTTTCAAGCTCCGAAAGTGGTGCTCCAACAATGACGAAGTTCTCGCACAAATTCCAAAGGAAGACATTGTCAACCACGTTAAATTAGACGAAACCCTTCAACACTACAGTGTGAAAACATTGGGTTTGATCTGGATACCACATAAGGATCCGCTATGTGTGCGATCCCAAAAAAGTGAAGCGTCAACCATCACCAAACGAGTGGTGAGCTCAGAGGGGTCACAAATTTTCGATCCACTAGGACTATTCGCTCCTGTTGTGGTAAAGGCTAAGATATTCATGCAAAGCCTGTGGGAGCTGAAGATGGGCTGGGACGACGAGCTTCCTCAACTGCTGCAAACTGAGTGGAAAAATTATCGTGCTGATCTACAAGCATTGAACAATTTACAAATTCCACGGCACATCTTTGACGGAAAGGTGCCCATTAATCAGGAAATTCACACGTTTGTCGATGCGTCAGAGCGGGCTTACGGAGCAGCAATCTATGTCCGAGCCACATATAAGAACAATCAAGTATCTGTTCGGCTACTGTGCTCAAAGTCAAGAGTAGCGCCGACAGCAAAAGAGACGCTGCCTCGCCTGGAACTATGTGCCGCAGTCTTGGGAGCAGAACTAACCCATAGGGTGCGGAAGGATTTACGTATACCAAACGATAAGGTACCTGGATACTTATGGTCAGATTCGACTGTGGTGCTGTCCTGGATAAACGCATCAGCATCATCATATCACACGTTTGTGGCAAATCGAATCGCAAAAATCCGAGATGTTTCAGAACAATCTCAGTGGCGTCACGTGTCATCAGCAGCAGGAATTGCCGCCAGCAAGTTAGCAGAACACAATCTATGGCTATATGGACCTCTATTTCTACATGGCTCTCGCGACAAGTGGGCTCAGGTACCAACTACCACCCCCAGCGATCTAGAACGCAGGCTTAATCACATAAGCTTGCCAACATGTCAAAATGAAATTGGCAGTGTACTCTACAAGTGCAACCACAGCAACTCCTTCAATAAGCTACAACGTATTGTAGCATATATGATGCGGTTCTTTAACAAGAAAAACAGATCGCCCACAACTACATTGTATGTCGGTGAGTTAACCAATGCAAGGACCATCATCCTGCGGACTATCCAGCAAATTGATTTTAGTGCTGAATACAAACAACTCCGGATCCACAAAACGGTGGACAAAAAGAGCTCGATTGTTTCCCTGTGTCCTATAATCGGAAACGACGGATTGATCAGAGTCGGAGGTAGATTAGAAGAATCGAGCCTTCCATATAGCGCGAAGCATCAAATTTTGCTTCCATACAACGATCCACTTGTGAAAATACTATTGCGAGAGATGCATGAAGAGAACATGAATTGCGGGGCTCAAGCTCTAAGGGCCATTGCCAGACAACAATATTGGATTCTCAATGATAAAACAATGTCAAGAAGCATATTCACAGCTGTGTCAGATGTGTGACTTGACAACAGATTCATTTTTAGCTGCGCTTCGACGATTTTTGGGTCGACGCGGAAAATGTAAGACTATTCACTGTGACAACGCAACAAACTTTGTCGGTGCCAACAATCAATTGAAGGCCTTAGAGGAAGCTATATTCACCGACAAGGCTCAAGAACAGATTATAAACCATTGCAATAAAAAGCAAGTGGAGTTTAAGTTCATACCGCCCCGAGCACCATCGTTTGGCGGGCTTTGGGAAGCTGCGGTGAAATATGCGAAGCGGCTGCTAGTATCAGTCACAGCCACAGCTTCATTAACATTTGAGGAGCTTAACACCGTAATCGTGGAAGTCGAAGCAATCCTCTATTCCCGACCGCTGACACCGATGTCATCTGATCCAACAGATACATCAGCTCTGACTCCTGGCCATCCAAGCGAATGGCTGACGTTCGCTCAGAGAGAGGCTTCGTGCGTGCCAAGATGGCAGGCTGGTGAATGTATAGTGTCTACCTGGCACCGAGCATGTCATTTGCGGAATTTGGGGAATTAGCCACAGACGCGAGAGGCCACTCTCCGTCACTTATAGCCGGTGACTTTTACGCGTGGGCGGTGGAGTGGGGTAGCTCCCTCACTAATGCCAGAGGCAGGACCCTCCTCGAGGCCTTCTCGTCACTAGACCCTCCTCAACACTGGGGCGCAGCCCACCTTTAGCAGAGCCGGGGCGAGTTCGGTGATTGACCTCACGTTTGTGAGCTGCTCCAGGGCTAGCTAATGGGTCCTGAGCGACGCCTACACGGGGAGCGATCACGCAGCGATCCTCACCGCGCTGGACACTCGGCGAGCGCACCCAACACCGCTGCCTCCTCCAGCACGAAGGGGTTACAAGGCCGACACCCTGGACATCCAATCCTTTGCGGAACACATGCAGAGACTGGAAGCAAACGGCTGTGCAGAGCAGATGGCGGAGTCTGCTATGAACCAGCTGCAAGCCGCATGCGATAACTGCATGACTGCCAAGCGCGCCCACTCTCGTCACAGGGACTCGGTGTACTGGTGGAACCATGCTATTGCCGCGGCCAGAACGGAGTGCATCAAGGCGAGGCGCCGCTACCAGCGCTCCTACCGCTCGAGCTCCCACCTATAGAGGCGGCCCCTGTGCGACACCGCGGACCGCGATCCCTGGGGGAACGCCTATAGGATCATCGTCAAGAAGATCCACGGGGCAAAACAGGGCGCCCCCCACGACGCGGAGAGCATCGACAGGATTGTCGAGCACCTATTCCCCAGGACGAGCCAGTCCTGGAGACGGAAATCCTGGCAGCGACGACGAGAATCAGAGAGGCGAAAGCCCCAGGCCACGACCTCGTCCCCAACAGAGTCCTGAGACTTGCCTCAGAGAAGGAACATTACCTAGGAGATGGAAGGTACAGAGGCTGGTCCTGCTTCCGAAACCAGGAAAACCGCCAGAAGACCCTTCCGCCCACCGACCGATCTGCCTGATTGACGGGGCGGGCAAGGTGCTGGAGCAGCTGATCCGGACGAGGCTTGAGACGGCAATTGCTGCGGCCGGCGATCTATCCGACTCCCAATTTGGATTCAGGAAGGCTACGTCGACGGTTGATGCCATCTCAAAAGTGGTGGGCATCGCTAAAGCCGCCATTGCGGGACAACGGTGGAAAGGAGGCGCGAAGGAATACTGCCTGATAGTCACGCTAGACGTCCGCAACGCCTTTAATACGGCGAGATGGGATTGTATCCTAGACGCACTATCCAGCTTCGGGGTACCCCCGTACCTCTTGGAGCTGTTGAAGAGTAACTTCAGAGGCAGGACTCTGGTGTACGACTCTGATGGCGGTGTCAGATCGGCCGAGCTTTCCTGCGGAGTGCCGCAAGGGTCGGTCCTGGCACCGTTGCTGTGGAACGCTATGTATGACGGTGTTCTGCGCCTCCCGCTACCAGGTCGGACCGAGCTGGTGGGATTCGCCGACAACATACCCGTAGTCGTAGTCGACAAGGAACTCGCAGGAGCAGAAGAGCTGTGCGACAGGAGCATCAGCCGCATAAACTCGTGGCTGTCCAGTGCTGGCCTACAACTAGCGCCGCAGAAAACGGAAGCCGTTCTGGTAAGCAGCCGGAAGAAGGTGGAGGTCGCAACCATCCGAGTGTGCGGGACCTCGATCAGATCGTCCAGAGCCATAAAATACCTGGGCGTGATGATCGACACGAGGCTTTCCTTCCGCGAGCACCTAGGGTATGGGAGCTCAAAGGCCACCACAGCGGTGAGAGCAGTCAGCAGAATAATGCTGAACCATAGGGGCCCGAAGCAGGCGAGCAGGTTGCGGCTGTCCAGCGTAGCATGAGACAGCATGCTTTATGCGGCACCAGTATGGGGACATGCACTGGCGACCCCGGCCTATAGTCGCGGACTGTGCTCGGCCCATCGCCTCGCGGCACTACGCATAAGCAGCGCCTTTAGGACGGTGTCCGACCAGGCCGCGCTTGTCCTAGCCGGGACTCCGCCACTGGATCTGCTCGCAGCAGA